AGGGAGGAGAAATTGTGGTTGACGAAGAGGTGATTAATGGTTTATCTGATGTGTTTCTTCACCCGGAGTATACAATTCCATTGGTTCATTGCTTCCTTCCACTACTATCAATGGTTGTAGATAGAGTGGTGGGTCTTCTTCACTTAGTGGGTGATCTAAGCTCAAGTACTGACAGCTACTCAGACGTTGATGGGTCAGTCTTGGAAAATGAAATGAAGAAAGGTGTTAGTGTGATCGATTTTTATGTTCGGCGTGGACAAAGGCTTGAGCTTCATGAGTGTGCTTACTTGGCCTTGAGTCGTGCTCTTCATTTCAATACGAATTTGCTAGGGTAAGGGAAAATCTGTAGAGAAGTTACTCTTTGGTTTATTTTAAATAGCTCGACTAGTCTCCTAATGGAAGCTTGCTCAATTTTAAGAAAGTTCCACCACCATACCAGCGAATTCTTGTCAAGGAAATCATTTCTGAGACGCACATGGAGGTCTGCTTGTTATCTTTTGAAATTATACGGCATTCTTACCTGTTTTCTAGTCTATGGTTGGTTCCATTGATTATTTTTTTTTCCCTTGAATCAGGCTACTACAGCTGCGTATTTGCTTTGTCTTCAAGTATCATATCGTTTCCTCATTATGAGACCTGAGTTTTTCTCTAAGTTGTGGGATTGGTCCAGTTACTTGGACTCCATGAAAAGGCTCTCAGACTGTCATATACCAAGAAAGGCTATCTAGGAAAAGCATCGAGAGGCTGTGTGGTGTGGGATACAAATTCTTTCTCTTGTTTTGAGACTCAGTGATAGAGTAGCAGGATCTTATGGTTTTGAAGGAGAGGAAGCACTCTCATGCTTGCTACGGTAATCCTCTTACAGCTATACTCAAAACTTTTAGTTCGCTTTTGTCTTAAGTTTTGTTTCTAAAGGGTAATTTTCTTTGATACTTTCATCTGGGAGGAATTTTGTCAGGATATAGAAATAGAAAAGGCTGGTTTGTACATTCACTGAAAGATCTGCTCAAGTGGTGTGAACGAGTTCATGGTCTGTCCTCATATGATGGCCTTGCAATTTCTCAGGAGGCAGCAGATATTTTCTCTGCGTCTTATATGTCAACTCAAAATCGAGTGACAGTTTGTGAAATTGTGGCTAGCATTTGGAATGTCGCCGTTCCGGAATCTCAGCATAAGCCCCTAATTCAGGAATTTTCTGGAATTTTAAAAATTGGCAGAGTTTCTCTTCCACTTGGTGTAACTGCGTCACATGATCGATCGAGGTTTATTGAAACACGCACATCTACACGGTTACTTGAGAAAATAGCTCGCTCTGTCGAGTATAACGAGCCAGTTCTCTTAGTAGGAGAGACAGGGACTGGGAAAACTACTCTAGTTCAAAATCTTGCACACTGGATCGGACAGAAACTTACTGTTTTGAATTTGAGCCAGGAAAGTGATATAGTTGATCTATTGGGAGGATTTAAGCCTATTGATGCAAAGCTTATGTGCACGATGCTGTACAATGAATTTAATGAATTGGCAAGAGATTCGAAGATGAAGGATGATTCAGATGTAATGAAATGGCTGCAAAAATACTTTAGAGCCAAGAAGTGGGATACATTTTTGAGTGGGTTAAAGAGAACTACTGAACATCAGATTAAAGGTAAAAGTGATAGAAAGAAGTAATTGGAAC